TCTGTCTGTCTGTCTGTCTGTCTATCTATCTATAAATCAATGTATTATAATCAGCAGTGACATCTAATTATCATTTAGGAAGAAATCCAAAATATCTTACGGTAAATGATGGGACTGTGAGTTCTCTACTCCATCCTAATGTATTTATTGTTCCTTCCCACAGGCTTCATTACAGCACAGATGATTAAGCTGTCCTCACTTCTGATTAATAATTAACCGCTGTTGTTATATTTCTTCTGCAGGCACTACAGAATGTGCTCTGCAGTTTCCAGACCCGTATATCTACTGGGACACATTGATGAAGATCTGCGTCTTCATCTTTGCCTTTGTGGCTCCTCTTCTCATCATCACGGTGTGCTACACGCTCATGGTCCTGCGTCTCAAGAGTGTACGTCTGCTGTCAGGCTCCCGGGAGAAAGACCGCAACCTGAGACGCATCACCCGTCTAGTGCTGGTTGTGGTGGCTGTGTTTGTGGTGTGCTGGACGCCCATACACATCTTCATTCTAGTCAAAGCTCTTGCGCCCGGAGTGCCGGAGACCACTGCGGTAATGGCCGCCTACTTCTTCTGTGTGGCTCTGGGATACACCAACAGCAGCCTGAACCCCATCCTGTATGCTTTCCTTGATGAGAACTTCAAACGGTGCTTCAGGGACTTCTGCTGCCCAGGTCGGACCAAGGGGGATGGGCACGGCGTCAGTCGGGTCAGAAGCACTCTTCGCGAGCACACGTGCCCAGCAGAGGCCAAAGGGGATGGGGGCCACGGTCGACCCGTATGACTAGCCGTGGAGCTGTCGTCCTTTCACGGTCGAGAGGACTCAAATGACCTGGGACTGACACAGATCACCACCGCCATCTGAGGAAGACATTGTGCCAGAAAAATAGGCTAACTATTGATAGAGCAAAAAGGGATATTTTAGCAAAATCATTGTCTTGTTTTGTGTGTCCATATTCAGATTTTTATAGTACACTGTAAAAAAAATAAAAAAATAAAAAATAAACCTTAAATTTACAGTAAAAATGACAGCTGTGGTTGCCAGAACTTTACTGTAAAAAAATATGGTACCACCATTTAATTTTTCAATTTAATTTAAATTTACAGTAAAAGCCCATACATTATAATTCATTAACTGATCTAAAACACCAAACTACTGAAATATTAAAATATGTTTTAATATGCTGACAACCACCAAAAACACAGGTGTTCATGAGAAAGCCACATGATGAATCAAAGCTCATCACAAATAACTTTTCCAGAAGCTGAAGCTGATATTATTTATTAATATACAGAAGATATACATTAATATACATGACACTAAAATGATGCAGTAAACATTAATTTACCAACATAAAATGTAACATAAAACCCTAATATACATAACTGATAAGAAAAAACTAAGAAGAAACTGGTATTTCAGTCAAAAACCATCAAACGTGAAGTGTCACACAGGGCATTCTGGGAATATCAGTTTATGGGTTTTTCACTGTAAATGATAGGATGATTTGTTCTTTTTCACTTCCAAAAACTTCCAAAAATTTATTAAATGTCACGTTAGATTTATTACAGTTTTTCCTGTAGTAAGGGAACTTACCATTAACAAATCATCCGGTTCTTACTGTATTTTTGCAGTCTTTTCCATTAAAATATGATCATTTTTACAGTGTATCTTCTTATTCAGATCTTTGTTTATTGCTTTTTTTGAATGTCCATTGACCAAAGATGATGTATGATTAAAATCTCGTCTCTCACAATCAAACGTCATGCTCAAAGATCCTTTTGCATAATAAGTCCTTTGGGAAATATTGTACATTACTAGGCACAATATTTTAAGTCTAACTTATAGTTTTGCTTGAGTAGCCATGATAAAAAATATTGTGGCAAAATACAACAAACAAAAACACTGTATGTATGCATCTGTTGGTACTGTAAATACATAAACATTTATTTTGGATTGTGAAACAGTCCCTTTTTATATTTAAAAAAATATCAATGTATATTAATCAGCAGTTAATATTAAAAAGCACTTTAAAACAACCAACTAAAGGACTGCATCTACTTAGTCAGGTTGTTCATGCTTAATACAGTGTATTATCATTTCTATAGACCTACAAAAAAAGATGTACATCTCTATTGCATGCTTGACAATTAAATCTTTATGTAAATGCAATTTATGATGAAAAGAAAATGCAAAATCATTTCTGTTATAAAGTAGAATGGCAGTAATATGTCTCAAGCAAAACAGTTCATACGTACATTGTTTTTGATATTATTGATGTAAGTAAGTATTTGTCATGTTGGCTTTAGGTTGTGAAGGCTACATATATATACATATACATCATAGCGTTCTAAAAAAATTTAGCTTTTACTGTAGTTTTGTTCCTTGGGTGTGTGTGATATATATTATGACATCATCAGTGCTCTATTGCCACAACAGTATTAGGGATTGCAAAATTCTTTTGAAAAATGTAATACCCTTTGTGCCTTTGGTTTTTTGTAAATCAATATATATATATGACATTATTGCAAATATTTGGTCATCTTAGATGCTTTATAGTATGATATAGGACAATGAAGCACAGAGTGTGAGAAGCTTCTATAAGTTCCACTGTAATTTCAGTAATGTGCTTGTACACTATTATAGATTTTGAATGTGCTAGCAAGTTTTCTTTCTCAGCTTGTGCTTCAATATGTGCAATTTCTGAACATTTGAAATCAAATGAAATGAGCTTTGCTATGCCATCAGTTGTACCTTGCTTGTATAATATTACCTGTATTTGAAAATTATATTGTCAATAAATTGAACTGTAAGAATCAGTGTTGATATGAGTCATGTTCTGTTCAGAGATGTCAATTATGAGGTTTTCAGCAATCATGACTGCGATTTGTCCGAAAAATCATACAAGACAACAAAGCCAGATGAAAGAAGTATCAAAGGCACAAAGAACAAAGAACAAAGGCAGTATCGCCATGGCAACCTATTGTGCATCTTATAGCCTAAATTAAACGGCAAGAGACATTCTTTTTTTCCACACCTTTGATGCTTGTCAGTAATGAGAACAACTCAGATACGTCATAGAGGATGCCATGATGATGAGGGCTTGAAATCAATGAACACTGCGTCTAGCTTTAATTTAGAAAAAAGAGATTTTCTTTCTGTAAACTGGTGATATGTTTAATGAAACGTTATGGAATTAATATAAAACATCAGTTGAAGATTATATAAATGTTTAATTAGTCAAAATATATTCTAGTTTTCCCACTCTGATTTCATTGACTTTCCTTCTTTCATGGAACACCAAAAGAGATATTTAGTAGTCCAAATGCTCATTTCCAAATACACTATAAGTGGATAGGAACCATTCTGCTAAATTCCTCACTTTGGAACGACGTGAAGATGAATAAATGATGACAGAATTTATATTTTTGAACAATCCTTGTAAAGGTGCATTCAGTATTTATCATTCGCCATGCTTTGTTGATCTTGAAATGATGGTAGGCTTCAAAGAACAGAAAATTACATTTTTTAAATAGATTATTTTTTTATTTATTTTATTTTATTTTAAAAAATTTTTGTATAATAATAACAAAGGAATGGAAGAAAAGGAACATAGCTGTCATGAAAAAATAATAAAGCAATGCACAATAAATCAAGAAAAATAAATAGATCAAAAATCTAATTTTCTTTATGCTAAATATTTAAATTTTGGGATGAAATATATTAGAAATGTAGCCTTGAAATTAAATAACTGAAATAACGATGTTAAGCTGAATTATAAAAATTACTAAAACTCAGATGGTGTTGTTATTGTTAACTAAACCTATTAAAATTTTCTGGAATTAAAGTAAAGTTGAAATAAAATTAAATATAAATATTAAATGAAAAAATGTTTACTTGAAAGGAAATAACTGAAATAAATGTTTAAGCTGAATTATTAAAATGTCTAAAACTGAAATAAAAATGACTTAATGACATAACAAAAGCACATAAACACTTAATCAAATTACTAAAACTTGAAAAAAAAAAAAAGGAAAACTTGACATATGAAAATAATAAAATAAAAGGGCTGCATCTACCTTCCGCAGAAGAATAACACATTATAAAGCATTTCGCTTAGAAAACAGCATGCCCCACACACCAATCTGTTTTTCCAGCATGGGTACCACAGGCAGAGGCCAGAGACACGTGCTACATATTCATGAGGCTGTCACCAGCCATCACTCGCTCATTAGATTATCTTAAAGGTGTCCTAAGGTTGTCACTGGGGAATCATAATGACTCCATTAGGTTACATATGGGCCGTTTGTTGGCCTGTCTGTGCTTTGTCTCCTGACATGCTTTTGTTTATGCGGTTAGATGTTGGCGCTGACTGGGTAATGAATTATTCATAAGCAATCATGATATTCTACTTTTTATGCAAATGTTGAGGTGGGCACAGGTTTCAACAGTGCCACGCACACACATATGGATGTTCAAGTACACATGCCCTGCCATGCAAATGGATGCATATAATCCGATTTTTGCATAATTTGCATATCCACTGATCTTTTTGAAACACCTGTAGCATCTTTATTCATGTTTGTTTTCCAGGCTTATTGATCACTTTCTTTGATTATACTGTACAAACACACTTTTGAACTATGAAAGAACTTGGAGTACAACCGTTCATTGTGTTCCAGATGCATCGATTAAAAATTGACTTTTAAATATGACTTCGTCATAATGAATCATTTGTTTTGCTCTAGATTTAAAATGTTATCATTTGAATTAGTCATATTTTGTTGAAATAGCAATGGAAATAAATTAATTGTGCAAACTCTGCAAATTGCTTTGCTGAGGTGAATTAAACCATTCTGCGAATCAAATTGGAATTTAATCGATTCACTGACGAATCGTCAATTAAATTAATTCAGTGCCAACCCAAAGATTCATCTACCCCACTACTATATAAATATACATTTTTATATGAAATATTGTATTTAAATATTAAGTACTATATTAAATATTAATGTTAATTTTTATATTCATTATTATTTACTCTTAAAATAAAATGTGGAAAATTCGTAATAAATAAAGCAAAAAGTCAAATAATAAGTAGTTGTGTCTAAATGTTTGACTAGTGTATAATTGTAAATGAAAAATGATTATAGGTTTATCTTTAATGTTTATTTCACATTTTCTCTCTCTTTTCATGCAGTCTTGACACCAGCATTTTTTAATTTTTAGATTTTACAGATATCTTATATAATATATAAGAAATATAATATACATTCATATTTATTTCTGCATTAAAAACCATAGCTCATTTTTCATTTAGATTTAAAATGTTATCATTTGAATTAATAATAATTTGTTAAAGTAGCAATAAATAAATAAATCATGTTGAAAACTCTTTTGCTTTAAGGTGAATTTCCAAATCTCTTTTGAATTAATTCATTAGGAATTGTCAATTGAATTGATTCACTGTCGACTAGGGCTGTCAACATTTTTTTTCGAATTTCGAATATTTGTCAAATTTAAAATAAAAATCCACATTCGAATGCAAAAATGTTGCATTCGAATTTTAGGTGTGCGTTAAGGCCTTATCAGTGGCGCACGAGATGCGATGGCGATGTAAGTGTCGTTGCATTATAATGTTTGTGTTAGCCTATCCAGTTGAAGCCACTAGATGTGGCACTGCTGCGTTGTTCATTCAAAATATTGCGGAAAAAAAGAACATCAATGCGGAGAAGATCTTGTTTACATCAAAACGGAAACCAAGCCGTTCACACAGAACACATATTTTGTGCATTTTCTAGAGGGACATCTTTCACCGTTGCACTCGCCTCTTGCACAAAGGAGCCGCATGTTTAGAAAGCCATGTAAAATTAATGCAAGTTTAACTTTGAAAAAAAAAAAACATATATCGAGACTTTATGGCGTTTTTTTCCCCCATCCAACTGCATCTGATGTTTTTAAATGAGAAATGTACTCTGTGTGATTGGCTTTCCGCCCTTTGCATTAAGCTATGCATACATACATGATGCAGTTTTGTTTATAGTTGTTTAAGCAACTTAATTAATTATAATTGGTTTATAAACGTGATTTTAAACATTATGCACTGTTTTCACAGATAGTCATTTTATCTTATGCTTTGAATAAATGTGCATTAGTAATATTTTGCTCGATGCGCCCTCTTGTAGCCTAAGATGAGAAGCCAAAAGCTTTTCTTCACCCTAACTGAAATTATGCATTTTAAATTTGAATATAATTCGAATTTTGATAATATTTAAGTACAAAATTCAAATTTCGTTTTTCAGCCATTTTGACAGCCCTACTGTCGACCCAAAGATTCATCTACCCCACTACCTTACCCATAATCCATCTCTCTTTCTGTTCAGGGACCAACAGGTGAGACAGGACCAATGGGAGAGCGAGGCCACCCTGGACCCCCAGGACCACCCGGTGAACAGGGTCTACCTGGATCTGCTGGAAAAGAGGGAGCAAAGGTGCAAACAAATTCAGGCCATACACATGTCAACATTTACACACAATAAAGTTACATATACACAGATCCAAATCCAGTATCTATCGGTCAAAACCGGTTTTCATCATATCTGGTCTTTATAGGGAGATCCAGGTCCTGCAGGACCCACAGGTAAAGATGGACCTCCAGGACTCAGAGGGTTCCCAGGCGAGAGAGGCTTACCAGGACCTGTGGTGAGTCTCACGAATGAAACATGCCTAACCATAATTATTAAACTTTGTGTAACTCGCCCGTAAATTCTGCACAGGCGAGCATCTCTCTTTTCATGCTTTGAGCTTTTTAGTTTGTTGTTCAGTATAAATAGTACATCCCCGTGTCACCTCTACCCATCAAACGTGTCGTGCAGCAGCACATGGATGTGTTTGTGTACGTTCAGCAGTTTTATGTGTCTCTCTGCAGGGATCAGCAGGTTTGAAAGGGAATGAAGGACCTGCAGGGCCACCTGGACCCGCTGTAAGTAGACATGCTCCCTCTATTTGCCTATCTTTTCTCCAACTGCTTTTTTTTTTGCTTGTTTACCTTGTTTTCTCTTTCTCCTTTCGCCTTTTGCTCCACACACTGGGTTTTCAGTGAGTACAGTGATTCAGTTTGTATGACATGGATGATTTACAGTGTATATATACAGTACCAGTCAAACATTAGGACTTACTTGATTGAATTTATTAGTTTTGTATACTATTTAATTCATGTTTTACAGTGAATAGTGCAGAAAAAGCATCAACATACACTACCATTCAAAAGTTTGAGGTCAGTAAGAAAATAATACTTTTGCAACAATAAGGATGCATTAAATACATCAAAAGTGACATATTTCAAATAATCATTGCTTTTTAAACTTTCTATTCATAAAATAATTGTTAAAGAAATGTATTACAACAGAAAACTGTTATTTTATTTATTAATATTACTGTTCTTACTGTATTTTGATCAAATAAATAAAGCTTTGGTGAGCAATGTCTTCTTTCAAAAAATATTACAAAATCTTACTAACCTTAAACTTCTGATTGGCAGTGTACATGTGAACATCTTTAACAGTGTCTTTAATGAGGTTGGTTGAAAGAAGTTGCAAATATGAATATTTATATTAAATATTGTATTTAAATATGAAATACTATATTAAATATTTTTATATATAATCATAAATATATTTTCATATTTACTATTAAAATAAAACTGTAATAAAAAAGTCAAATAATAAGTAGTTGTGTCCAAATGTTTGACTAATGCACATTTATAAATGATAGATGATTAAGTATGATCAAATCTATTCCTCTTTTCTCTCTCTTTTTATGCAGACTTGACACCAGGATTGTGAATATTCAGATTTACTGATATCTTATATAATGTCGCAATATGCATAGTTATATAATCAATATCTTGAAAACACAGCATTTGTTTCTGCATTAAAAATCATATATGCATGCCAGCTGTCAACACCTCCATATGATTTTTTTTCAAGAACAAATGCATAATTAATCAAACAGATCATCAAGTGTTCAGTAGCAAATGGCAGTTGTTGCAAGTAAATCAGTTATGAAATTTCATATTCACATATTCCTAGGGCTCTCCTGGTGAACGTGGTGCTGCTGGCCCAGCTGGACCTACTGGCCTCCCGGGCCGACCCGGACCTCAAGGACCCCCGGGCCCAGCTGGAGAGAAAGGTGGACCTGTGAGTACTTCCTCAAACATGCTCCATCTTCATTTCTGAGCCCTGCTTAGCTCCATATGATTAAATATACAACTATAACCTCTCATGTTAGGGCGAGAAAGGACCTCAAGGCCCAGCCGGTAGAGATGGTATTCAGGGACCTGTGGGACTTCCAGGCCCAGCCGGACCCATCGGATCCCCAGGAGAGGATGGTGATAAGGTACAGAAGAAAAAGAAGTGGTAGAAGAAGGTTTGAGAAGTGAAATGAATGAATTAAGGACAGAGACGTGACATGTAATTGATGATCATGGTTGAATCTGGTGGGTTTGCTAGATGATTAGATCAGGATGAAGAGAAGTGAAGGTCACATCACACACACACACACACACACACACACACACACACACACACACATAGATCAAACCGCTCAGCTGTCTGATCAATATTTTCTCTAGAGGAATGGATGGATGGTTCGATATTTGCTTAGTGCATGGCCAAATTAAAAAAATTAAATGAAGCTTTGATAATACAGTATACATTAATGAAGTCAAGGCTGCATTTACAGTATGTGCTCAAAAATACAGTAAAATCAGTAATATTGTGAAATATTACAATTTAAAATAAATGCTTTCTAATTGAATACATTGTAAACTGTAATTTATTCCTGTGATGTAAAGCTACATTTTCAGCATCATTACTCCAGTCTTCAGTGTCACATGATCCTTCAGAAATCATTCTGAACTTCATTAATAGAGTATCAAACCGGTGGAACAGCAACATAGCAATGTCACATTCGAATGAGAAATATGTGTGATGATACTGAAATATAAGTGATATTACAGCGCAGGGAATCAAATATGCAGTTTGCCTTATTGGATATGATCTAATTTAACACTTAGGTGAACGTGTCAGGGAAATGACATCACCGTGACACACTCACACACACCGATCTGAGGTGTGACACCAACATGTGTTAGCTTTGGCAGTTTCTAAGGTGTGAGCGATATTTGAAGGATATGTGTGTCAGCTCTGCCATGTGTGACAGGTGCAAAGCCTTCTGGGAAATATAGTCATAGGAATAAATAGCAATGTTAGTTTCCTAATAACTGACTTCACCAACAAAAACAGACTAAAAAGTATAGTAGAGTGTACCATGTTTACCTATACCATGTTTTTTAGGCATGTGCTATGTTAATACAAGGTTTTTTTCACCATATACAATGGTGATATTGTGTTATTTGAATTTCCTCTGAGTTTTATGTAAATACCATATGAATATGAATACATTACCATTCAAAATGTATGTTTTTTTTTTGTACGAAATCATTTATACTTTTATTCTGAAAGGATGCATTCAACTGATCAGAAATGACAGTAAGACATTTATAATGTCACAAAAAAAATTGTTTCAAATAAATTCTGTTCTTCTGAACTTTATATTCATCAAAGAATCCTGAAAAAAAATCATGATTTCCATAAAATGGAGCAGCACAGCTCTTTTTAACACTGATAATAATATAAATGTTTTTTGAGTGTCAAATCAGTATATTAGAATGATTTCTGAAGGATCATGTGACACTGAAGACTGGAGTAACGATGCTGAAAATTCAGCTTTGCATCACAGGAATAAATTACATTTGAAAATATATTCAAATAGAAAACAGTTATTTGAAATTGTAATATTTCCACAATTTAATTGTTTTTATTGTATTTTTTATCAAATAAATGCAGCCTTGGTAAACAGCAGATATTTGTTTTTTCCAGAAACTCTGAGAAACAGATACTGCATTTGTATAATTTGTATTATTGTGTCATGTGACCTTTTTAGATATTTTCTAGATATTATTTTAGATATTACATATTTGCATATGTAAATGCTGTGTTATTGTGACAGGGTGAGATTGGAGAGTCGGGACAGAAGGGAAGCAAAGGTGACAAGGGCGAGCAGGTGAGTCACTCTGAATTTATTCTTTACATTTCCATTACAGTTCAGTCCAAGAACATTATATATTCAATGAGTCCTGTTTGGATTTGTCTGTTTGTTTGTGTCGTTCTCCCATGGCAGTCATTCGTTCTGTTATTACCACTGCGCGGTTATGAATATAGATGTTGTCTTTGTTGTGAAAATCAATGAGTTGTGCTTGCTTGCTTTTTTCTTTCTTCTCATTTATTTTTTTCTCCTTCTTTCTGCCATTCTTCAGGGTCCTCCAGGTCCCGTCGGTAGCCAAGGTCCTTCGGGTCAGCCGGGTCCACCTGTAAGTATACTGAAATCAGCCATTTCTCATATGGTGTGTCTTGCTGTGGTGTAAGTGGTGTTAGTGATGTCACTTCCTCCCTGCAGGGTGCTGATGGAGAGCCAGGTCCCAGAGGTCAGCAGGGTCTGTTTGGACAGAAGGGAGATGAGGGCGCACGAGGTTTCCCAGGACCACCCGGACCCGTCGGCCTTCAGGTTAGAACTTCAAAGTTTGGTTTCTACTTGTTTAAAACACTATTATTTTAGTATCTTTGATGTACTATCATAGTTTTTATTCATTTTTATTAATTAATTTTATTTATTAATTAAATTGATTTATTGATTTTATCCTAATATTTACCACTCATATTTTTTATAAATTTTAATGTTTTAGTCATTCAGCTGTTTTTATAATTTTTATTAATTTTTTAATGTCTATATAGTTTTTATTCTTTTTTATTTGTTTTTGTTTGTTACTTTAGTACTAAACAAAAATGTGACATTTTTAGTATTTTTGATGTACTATTATAGTTTTTATTAATCATTTAATTTAGATTTTATTGTTATTTTTACCTTTTATTTTAGTTAAAGTTTAAGTAATTTTTTGTTTTTTTTGTCATTTTTATTAGTTTTTTTATATGTCTATATAGTTTTTATTAATTTTTTCTTTCAGTTTTATATATTTTAGTACTTCAAGTTAAACTAATGTTGCCTTGACAACTAGCTGATAAAAAAATAAGTTTAAGGCTTTTTTATATTTGTTTTTCAGTTAACAGTTTTAAAATGTTTTATTTTGGTGACTAGATATTTTTTGTTAATTTTTATTTCAGTTTTAATTTTAGTTATTTTAGTACTTAAATTTAAACTAGAGGGATCAGCAAAATAAGAAATATTGCCTTGCCAACTAGTTGAAATATATATATATATATATTTTTAAAGGATTTTTAAAGTTTTCTTTTATTTTCTTTTATTTCAGTTAACGTTTATTTTATGTTAAGTAACAAAAATGCTTTTATAGACTGGAGTAATGATTCTGAAAATTCAGGTTTGCATCACAGGAATAAATTACGTTTTTAAATATATTCAAATAGCAAACAGTTATTTTAAATTGTAGTGATATTGCACAATTTTACTGTTTTTACTGTATTTTTGATCAAATAAATGCAGCCATTTTAAGCATAAAAGACTTTCAAAAGCATTAAAAAGTCTTACTGACCCTAAACTTGCGAATGATATTGTATGTGAATATGATAATCATTAAGTACCATGATATCACCATCTGAAACAATTATAGCACCACAGTCCATAATATAATACATTTTTCAATTAATCAACAAATTTGTTCCAGGTGGATAAAACCAAGTCTTGCCTTGGAAGTATAACAGATTGTGGAAGTAAAATGGACTGCAAATGGCATTTAATGTGGACTGTAAATGTTGTTTATGTAGTTTGGACAGGATTTGACTGATTAATATGAGTTGCAGTTGGTTTTAACTGGTTGTGTTTGTGTGCAGGGTTTGCCTGGACCCCCCGGTGAGAAGGGAGAGACCGGTGACGTCGGTCAGATGGTACAGTTTTACATTTATACAGTCAGTTTGGTAAAAATCGAAATGTACTTAAATAGAAACAGAGTTTTCTTTCTGTATTTTCTTGACTTTTCTCTCAGGGTCCACCCGGTCCTCCTGGCCCCAGAGGCCCCTCCGGACCCCCAGGAGCCGATGGACCACAGGGACCTCCCGGAGGAATCGGCAACCCAGGAGCCGTGGGAGAAAAGGTGATCCGCATCAGCGTCATGAACAAAACACTATCATTTCACTTTAATTAGAAACCGACGACGTCCTTATTGATCTGAGGGAGAATGCGCCAGTAATGATCCCAGTGTGTGTGTGTGTGTGTGTGCTCAGTCAGTTCAGGATCTGTGTCTCTGTGAGGTTTTCCTGTAGCTTCTCTCTAGAGTTAAAGCTGTGTATGTGTGTATGTGTTTGCCTGTGTGTCTGTGAGTGTTTTTGTAAGTTAAATATTTCTCAGGTTAATGTGTAAACTAAGTAAGCCAATCATAGATTAATATCCTCAAAAAGTGTAACACGGTATCTGATGCTTTGGTTTGAGCTTCACGACCAGCAAATTTGCATCAGTAAATTTGTTCATTCTAATTAGAGTGATATAATAATAATAATAATTATTATAAATTTTTTAATTAGTGACTATACAACAAGTAAATCAACAAGTATCAATAGCTTTGTTAATTCTGATTAATTTATTAATGATATTAATAATACATTTATATATCTAGTAAGTAATAATTATTTGTAAGTAGTAATTATACGAGTAAATGTATTGATAACTTTAATTCTAATTAGAGTGATTTAATAATAATAATAATTTTAATAATTATCATCACTGAAAATACATTACTGAAATTCAAAAATGATGGTGTTTTTCTGACAACAGATAAGTTATCCCACTGTCATAAAGAATACACATTTTTAATAAATGAATGCAAAATGCTGTTAAGAAATATTTATGGCCGGTGAGTTTTCCAATTTATTGGCCATTAGCAGATGTATGAAGTTCAGTTTGAACCGTGCCTGTGTGACGAGAGATTGTATTCTCCATTAAAGAATGAAACATGCTTTACTTGCTTGGAAAAGGTACGGTATTATGTTATAAATTCAAAAGTAGCACATTGCTTTACTTTACAAAAGAGCATTCAGTTGTGCGCTATGCTTTATTTTCAGTGCAGTGATCTTGAGGCTTTATTCTGAGTTCTGGTTGTGTGTGTGTGTGTGTGTGTGTGTTTATGGAGTGTGACAGTGAGCTGAGAGTGTCTGTATCTTTGTGTACTGTATGTCTCAGCAGAGCGAACAGGTCGTGTGTTCGCATGACTGCGCTCCATCACCTCAGCACCGGCCACTGTCAATATTAATACAGCACTTCAGCACTATTGTTCTCCCACCAAACCAAGGACCCATTTCAGTTCTGCTTAGAGAGGAGTTTTGCCCAGAGAAATGACCCAGAAAAACACAGACGAGGGGAGGATTTAAAACAGATAAAGATGATAGAATGAGACCTGGAGACAAGGCTGTTTGCTGTTAGTCTGGAAGATTTACCTCAGCACTTCCCTCTGACAGACCTCTCATCCCACTACAGAGAGAAAGAGAGAGATACCTCAGTCTGACACACACACACACACACACACACACGAATGATACAGTTCAGAGCGTCTGAGAGACTCTTAATCCCTCAGTATGGCGGACGTGCAGAAGGATCCACTTTCTATTCTGGTGGGGACTTAAACCTGAATATACACAGACTCATGGGGACTCGTGTCATGGTGGGGACCTAAATTGTGGTCCCCACGGGTGCAAAAGCTTATAAATCATACAGAATGAAGTTTTTTGAAAATCTATGCATGCAGAAAGTTTCCTGTGAGGGGTAGGTTTAGGGGTAGGGTTGGTGTATGGCAATAGAATATACGGTCTGTACAGTAGAAAAAGCATTACGCCTATGGAGAGTCCCCACAAGGATAGCAAACCAGACATGTGTGTGTGTGTGTGTGTGTGACTGAGCTGTGAGTGTCTTTGTGTCTCTTTGTGTAAGTCTCAGCAGAGCGTGCGTTCGCATGACTGCGCTCCATCACCTCAGCACCGGCCACTGTCAATATTATTTAATACGGCGCTTCAGCACTATTGTTCTGCATCGGAACCAAGGACCCGTTTCAGTTGTGCTTAGAGAGGAGTTTTGCCCAGAGAAACACAGACGAGGGGAGGACTTAAAGAAAACAGATAAAGATGATAGAATGAGACCTGGAGACAAGGCTGTTTGCTGTTAGTCTGGAAGATTTACCTCAGCACTTCACTCTGACAGACCTCTTATCCCACTACAGAGAGACAGAGATACCTCAGTCTGACACACACACACACACACACACACACACGAATGATACAGTTCAGAGCGTCTGAGAGACTCTTAATCCCTCAGTATGGCGGACGTGCAGAAGTATCCACACACACGCACACACACACACATTTAAACATCCTCTAAGAGCACAGAGAATAACTTCTAAACATGTTTATCAGCATGAGAGAAAGCACATTTATGGTTAAACTGATGTTGGTCTTTCATCTGCATCTGAGGGGGAGGACGAACAATATTGAATGTTTAATATCACAAACTGACTGATTTAATAGTGTTTTATTAGTGGTTTGCTAAGGCAAGCAGCACTGTTATTCCTTTTTGAATCGGTATCTGTTCATATTGGGATATTTAATTAATTAATATAAACTAAGGTTAGTTTTACCTTTAGATTACCTTTGCCATCACAAAGTTATTCTTTGAAAGCACTAATAATTTAATAACACTGTAAAAAGCATGAATAATTTAATAACACTATAATTTATTTAAAAATCTCAAAGTCTAAAATACATTAATAGCATAAAACAATTTTTTTGTATTTATTTTTATTTAGATAAAATAATATTGAATTTTAATTATGGTTATTTATTTATTTAGATGTTTCTTTTTTATTGTTTCTTTTTTAATTCAGACAAAATAGTAGAGAATTTAAATTTCAGCCTTTTATATATTTATTTAATTATTTATTTGTTTAGACTAAATAGTACATAATTAATTAATTAATTAATTTATTTTCAACAATTTATTTTTTATTTAGACAAAATATTATAGAATTTTAATTTCAGCCAGTTATTGGTTATCAGTCATTACATGAAAATGATTAACATCAAGCAAAATAGAACAATAAAATAAAATGTTTTATTTATTTTTATTTAGACAAATTAATATAGACTTTTAAGTCTAGCCATTTATTTACATGGTTCTTTATTTGTATTATTAATTATTATTATTTTTAGACAAAATAGTATAATTAATAATAATTCAATTTTGGCCATTTGTTTAATAATCTAATTTATGATTTAATAATTTATTTTCATTTTTAATTTAGTTTGTTTTCTTTTTTTTTAGACTATTTGTTTAATTTTGGCCATTTATTTAATCATTTAATTTATTATTTAGTTGTTTTTTTTTACTCTAAATAGTATAGAATTTTAATTTCAGTCATTTATTGGTTATCAGTCATAATATAATTTGTGTAAAAAAAAAAAAAAACTCATTGATGTACATTGCAGGAGGGACCCAAGACATATATAGAGAACAGAATATTATAGAAACTTGTGGATGGGCTCTTTTGACTGGAGCCAGTCATTTTAAACAACCACCCACAACTCTAGCATAACGACAGTTAGTTTGGCAGGAGCATCACTCAATTCTTCAGAAAACCTCAAAGTCTAGTTCATTTTTCAAAGTGTCATTGCTCCAATTCAGAGGTGTCTGGATACATACAGTATAATGATTTCCATTCTCATCTGATGTCTGATGGAACTGGTCATCATCAAGGTCGTTTGTTTGTCTGAATATCGATGTTGCGCAGATTTTCATGCTAGAAAGTGTTGTTCTGCAGAGGAAAGCAGATTTGCTGACAAGACAGTGAATGATGCTGACGTGCTCTTCTGTCCAGTGGACAAAATCTCTGCAGTGTTGAGGAGAAAAAAGAGCCCTGCTTACTTACATCTCTCTGTTTTTCTCTAGGGAGACGCCGGTGAACTAGGAGAACCAGGTCCGCAAGGAGACATCGGCCCTTCAGTATGGCAAAAAAAACAAACTTGCATATGCAAAACTCTTAAAACTTCACTGCTGAAAGTCTCAGAACAACACACACACATCTCATAGATGTTTTGTAAAAACTTTATTTTTAAGAGTGTATTGTAGGTTCTGCATGCTAATACCATACTCTTTATGCTTAGGAGACCATGCAGTTACCATGTTTTTGATCAACTACAGAAATGCTCAAATGTTGTGGTTTGATTTTCAGGGTCCAAGTGGTTTCCCTGGTGATCCTGGTCCTCCTGGAGAGCCTGGTTCACCTGTAAGTGTTATTAATGTGTAAATGTAGTTATTGCAAATATATTTTCAGGTTGTTTAAGGAAGCAACATTCTTTTTTCTTGCTCTACAGGGTTTGGATGGTGCTTCTGGAGATAAGGGTGATGATGGAGAGCCTGGTCAGGCGGTGAGTAGGATTTAAACACAACCATTTGTCATCTCTGGTGTCAGCTGCATGCATGTGTGTGTTTTATAATGTTTGCTGCTTTTATAATGTTGTTTATTTGTTTCTTTCAGGGATCCCCTGGACCTACTGGTGAAACCGGCCCCACTGGCCCTCCAGGAAAGAGAGTGAGCAATGCTTATATCATTTGCATTCAAAAAAATTATAATTAGCAGCCAAAAATATTTCTGACTAGCCATTAATATTAATAGGATTAAACTAAAAATACCTATATATGGCTCTCAATTTTCATTCCTTCTCTTCAGGGACCTCATGGACCTGCTGGACCTGAAGGAAGACAGGGAGAGAAGGGTGCCAAGGTAACATGCAGACGTTCACACAGTCATGCACTGGAGCACTATTACAGTCACAAATACATTACAGCAATGGTTTCAATGGTTTTGTGTGTCTCTGAATCAGGGTGAATCTGGTCTCCTGGGTCCACCTGGTAAGACAGGTCCAGTTGGTCCTCAGGGAAGCCCTGGAAAACCTGGTCCCGAGGGTCTGAGAGGGGTGCCTGGACCAGTGGTGAGTGATACTGGACCAGCCTGACAGCCATACACAGCTCATTAGGTCCTAATGTCAGAGTTTAAGCTAAATGTATTTGGTGAATCTCACAAAGCCTTGTAAATAATATACCTGGGTCATAGTTCACTACAAAATCAAAATCTCTCTCTCTCTCTCTATATATATGTATATATTTAGGGCATAAAAAATTTGGAGCTGTAAATGTAAGATTTTTATTTTAAGATTATGAAACATTAAAAAAAAAACTTTCTCATTTCTACAATGCAACAAAAAAATTACATATTATTTAAATTACTATTTAGTATATACTATTTAGTAATTATGTAGTAAATGTAATTACTGTTTTAAATAATTACTATTAATATTTGTATTATTATTATTATATCATATATCTATATACACATATACACATGCAAGTTAAGAAATTGGACCTGTAGATTTAAGATTATAGAAGTTTTAAGATTAAAATAAAAAACAAAACTAATTTCTGCAATGCAAAAAAATGTATATTTAAATTGTGTAGTATTAATGATTTAAACCTAATTTAAAAAAAATACCATTGATATTTATGCTCCAAAATGTCTTTATCATGCCAAAAAAATTATAATATACGATATATATAAAATAAATATATATACTTTACCATTTATATTATATAAATTGTAAAGTATATATACATCCTAGTATTTTTTTAATTTTATTATTGCTGATTAAAAAAAATAATAATAAAAAAGCCATTGCCTGGACAAATATTGTCACAGTGCAAAAATCTATATTTATATCATTCATAATATAAAAATTACATTTCGTATTATTTCATTTGCTTGAAATGGAGTAAGAATCCCTCTTTCAACCACAAGAATATAACACCAGTCCTCATATGCAGTTCTGTCTAAGGCAGTGATATTGTGTTAATAAATGGATCTGTTTGGTCCTGATGTAGGGAGAACAAGGACTACCCGGTGCTCCTGGACCCGATGGACCTCCTGGACCGATGGTACCGACGTGATATTCCTCTGAGAATGAGTTCATTATAGTCTTAAATGACAATCTACAGTCCTCGCTCTTCTTATCTTTCTCTCTTTCAGGGTCCTCCTGGACTGCCTGGACTGAAGGGAGATACTGGTATTAAAGGTGAAAAGGTGAGAGAAGCAAATTCATCTTTGATACTCTTAATTAATTGCACTATGATGCAGTCTAGGTAGGTGACTAACTAGTGTTTGCAACACAGCTGTAGTAATGACTTTACATGTCCAGTACATTAATTGAACTCTGGCTGGCGTTACTGATTATGAAGGAGTATGTTCATTACTGATGAGTTTAATAATCAAGCGGCTTGTTTCAGGGTCATCCTGGTCTCATTGGACTCATCGGACCTCCAGGAGAACAGGGAGAGAAGGGAGACAGAGGGCTGTCGGGTCCACAGGGAACTGCAGGAACTAAAGGAGACACTGTATGGAACATGTTCACATACATACAGCAATAAAAACTAGTATAAACGTGCTAAATTTAATGTATTTTCATAAAGCAGTCTTCAATATTTTAAGTATTTCTCTACAGGGTATTTACGGACCCGCTGGACCTATTGGACCCATTGGACCTCCTGGTCTCCCGGTATAATTGAAATCCTTTATTATATACACTTAAATAAAAGTTCTTCAGTGGTGCAGCAAAGATTTTTTTCTTTATTGCCTGTATAAGGTTCTTGAGTTGCAATGTGGTTCTTTGGGTTCTTCAAATCAGTATTTTGGTTTCTACATGATGGATTTTTTGTTTGTTTTTTTAAAGAGAAAACTTAAAAAAGTTTCTCCATCTTTTTGGTTCTAATAATAATCTTTATTTTTTAGAGGATATTAAATATAAATGTAATTCATAATTGTGATTCATATGTATGTTTCACTTCTGTTCAGGGTCCTCCTGGTCCTAAAGGTGCTAAAGGATCATCTGTAAGTTATTCATGTTCTTATTTAATCATTCTTGTTCATTTATTTAGCATTTTAAATGAGCATGGTTCTGTCTCTGTAGGGTCAGACTGGGCCGAAGGGAGAAGCTGGACAGCCGGGACAGCCTGGACCTCCAGTACGTAACTGCACTAAACCAAACTATAAAACAAAGCAAAACTAAGTGCATATTTAAACAGATGATTCTGCAGTAGATGTTACGTAAGTATAATTGAGGTCTATTATGTGGTGTAAAGCGAATCTGTTAAGGGTCCAGTGCATATTGCTTCCTTGAGAAAACCTGATATTTCACATTTACAGACTGTGTCGGTTGCTGTTTCCACACTCAGCTTCAGGACACCGAGAGAAATGCCAGTTTAGTCAATGTCAATGTAAAGGTCTAGATCAGGAGTGGCGAACTCCAGTCCTGGAGAGCCACAGCCCTGTAGAGTTCAGCTCCAACCCTAATTAAAACTCACCTGCCTGTAGCTTTTTAGTAACCCTTCAGACCTTGATTAGCTTGTTCAGGTGTGTTTGATTAGGGTTGAAGCAAAACTCTGCAGGGCTGCGGCTCTCCAGGACCGACGTTCGCCACCCCTGGTCTAGATGGATAATCGTAGATATGGTTATTTTTCAGGTTTATTACAGTAGTTTTTTAATATTGGGCATTTTGGCACTTTTATTTATAGAGTGAGACATAGAACAGGAAACAGTTAGAAGCATTGAGAATGTAATGCCCTAACAACCACCCATGACACCCTAGTAACCACTTGCAAAATCATAGTAATTGTCTGAATTTTGTATGGTCAAGCACCGCTTAAAATTTCCAACAATTTATTGACTCCCTAGCAACCACCCAAAACATCCTAGCAACACTCTAAATCACCCTAATAGCCACTAAAAACATCTTAGCAACTGCCTAACAACCACCCAAAACATCCTATCAACATCTTAGCAACCACCTAAAAATCCCCTACAGCCACTCAGAACACCTTAGCAACTGCTTATCAACACCATATTAACCCTAGTGGGTTACACTCACATTTTCCAACTACAGTAACAAACTAGCAACTGCCTAATAACACCCTAACAACCACCCAAAACATCCTTTCAACACCCTAGCAACCACCTTAAAAAAAAAAAACAACAGTCACTGCTTAAGAACACCCTAGTAACCAACCACCCTAACATTGTAGTAACAAGGTTTGCATGGCTAACCTACACTCACATTTTACAATGATTTATTAACAGTCTAGAAACCTCTTTGCAACACCTTAGAAACCACCCAGGAAACCCTAGCAGTCATTGAGAACACTTTACAACACCCTAGTAACCACCCAAACATTGTTGTAACCAAGTTTGCATGGGCCAAGCTACACTCACATTTTCTAATTATTTTGTAACAGCCTAGAAACCTCCTTACAACACCTTAGCAACCACCCAAAAAACCCTAGTCCCTCAGAACACCTTAGCAGCTGCCTAACAACACCCAAACATTTTGATGGTGAATTTTGCATGAGCAAGCAACACTAGCCTGTGCTCTAGTCTAAATAATGCATGTTATGTGAATATTAATGGTTATCTTCTCGTCTAGGGTCCACCTGGTGATGTCATCCACCCTCTGCCTATCCAGTTCAGCCCCAAACGGGCAAAGAGGAACATTGATGCCAGCCAGATGATGGATGATGCTGCTGACGCCAACTACAAAGACTATGAGGATGGCATGGAGGAGATATTCGGCTCTCTGAACTCTCTCAAACTGGAGATTGAACAGATGAAACACCCACTGGGCACACAGAGTAACCCCGCCCGCACCTGCAAAGACCTGCAGCTGTGCCACCCAGATTTCCCAGATGGTGTGTATCACTCACACACACACGCTACACACGCACGCATGTTTCCAAGCATGTTAATGCCTGTTTTAAACAAAGCATCAGTAAAAAAACAACAGAGATAGACAGAAGGTAACCATGATGCTAATGAAAAATAAAATTAAGAGAAAATGTGAAGCCCTAGCAACCATCCACAACACCCTAGTTACAGCCTATCAAATAATTAGAACACCTTAGTAACCAAACCACATCCTAGCAACCACTCAAACATTGTGTTGCCACATTTCACACAGCCAAGCACAACTCATGTTTTGCAACAATTACTAGCGGCCTAGCAACCTCCTAGCAACCACCTAGAAGCTGTTAAGAACACAATTTAGCAACTGCCTAACGATAGCCAAGTAACCGTCCAAACATTTAGGTGGTGAGTTTTGCAGTTTACAGTAGTAATGGCCTGGCAACCACTTTGCAACACTCTCTCGCAACACCCAAAGTCATGATGCTAATAAAAAAAATCTAGCAATACAGATTTAACATAAAATTAAATACATTTAAAAATATATATTTTTATTAAAATTAGGGTTGGTTCCCGAAAATGTACCATATTTTTTGACATACAGTTAATTACGATTAACTGGCATATCAAGTTCCAAATCACAAGATTAAAACCACCTGATTCTCAGCCCTGTATTAAATGAATCCCGTGTGAAAATATCTACATAATACATAAAGCTTATGATGGCCCTTGTTTCTCTGTTTTCAGGTGAATACTGGATTGATCCGAACCAGGGCTGCTCCAGAGACTCTTTCAAAGTGTACTGTAACTTCACAGCAGGTGGAGAGAGCTGCATCTTCCCAGAGAAAAAGAGTGAAGGGGTAATAAGAAATGTTCTCCTGCCAGCCACAAAGCAAAACACTTTGGGACGGCTTCCCTTCCCATAAGTCCAGATCTAGGGTAAAACCGTTTTGATCTCTGAATCACAAAGCACAACAAACACACACTAGATTCAACTCACAGTTAGTAGTTCATGGATTCCTGAAAAACTTCCAGAGAGAAATTGTTCAGCTTAACATGCAGAGAGAGGAATAGCGGTACAATCTGTTCAATATGTCACACTGTTTTAAGGTCACATCTGATTTAGAGTTTTTTTCCCATTGAAAATCTATGGAAAGACATAGCATGCACATCAGAATGACCTGTACTTTTTTCCTACAACCTGAACAAGGTCTATACCAGCTATTCAACTCAAAACTGTTCAAAACTAGTCAGAAGTATCATTTTTGAATAAAATGAGGGTTCTTGTATCATAGTCTTTAATGATGTTTGTGTATTAGATTCTGCTCACAAGTGTGACGAGTTATTTGCCTTAATGAGTCTCAGAAGCGTCACTGATGGAAAATCACTCAGTGGGGTGTGAAGGTGACTCTCAGCACTAACTTCAGTTCTTCCACAGGTTCACTCTTCATACCAGCAGATGCAGACAACAACAAACAACTACCTCCTCAGGCTTATTCTCACCTTACACAAATATTTACCAGGGCAACCCTTGCATGCCGACAGGCTGCTTCACACCAGAAGCAAAAATTCCCTCAAAAATTATTGTTGTTGGTCATATTGGAATTTTAGGGTTTTTGTTGATTTAGGATGAGAGCAAAACCTGTATCATAAAATTTGTGTTTTGCATTTGCATTAAATTCTGTGAACACTATTGGACCCTTCATCCTGCAAAAAAGTACTTTAAATTATTATTATTATTATTTAGATTTGTAAGTGACATTTTTGTAGTTTGCTGAGCAAAATAAATATTATAAAAAATTATAAAGTGTTCATTTAATATTTTTTTAGGTTTTAAGTCAATTTTAGTGTTTTGATTATATTAAAATTATATTATTATTATTATTTAGGATTTTTTAAAACACTTTTTAGGTTTTAAGTAAATTTTATTGTTTTGATTATATTAACATTATATTATTATTATTTAGGATTTTTTAAACACTTTTTAGGTTTTAAGTAAATTTTAGTGTTTTAACAATATTAGTAGTAGTAGTAGTACTTTTTATGATTTTTTAAAAAACATTTTTCGTTTTTTTTAGTCATTTTTATTTCACTCAGCTAAAAATAACTATATAAAATTTTCAATTATTTTGTTTAAATATATAAAAATTATATTATATTATTATTATTATATGCATTTTTACAAAACTTTTTAGGTTTTTAGGTGACATTTTTGTAGTTCTCAGAGAAAAAATAATTATAGGAAAATTTTATTAAAAATTTTTTTTTTCATTTGCAAAACCTTTTTTAGGTTTTTAAGTGGCATTTTTTTTCATTTGCTCAGCAAAAAATATTATTATTCATAACAAAGAGTGAAAAATTTAAGGGGGTCTGAATACTTTCCGTACCCACTGTATATCTAATATAATTATAATTGGATTATAGTTGTGTATGAAAGCTCGGTTTCGTACAGGGTTGTATTTTGTTAATTGTAGGGCTGCAGGTTTAATCCTGCAAACTGTCTGCAGGATCATGTCTTATGTGAAAGCCTCTGCCTTGAGCAGATTGACAACTACACTGCAAAACAGATCAAAATAATTCCCATAGGCTACCTGTTTCTCCCTGTCTGTCTGCAGTATTGACTCTAGCTGACTCTCTCTCTCTCAGGCCAGACTCACCTCTTGGGTGAAGGAGAATCCAGGGTCGTGGTTCAGTGAATTCAAACGTGGTAAACTGGTAAGAGTGACTCCTCTTTCTTGTCCTCCTGAAATAGTCTCCTATTTTACAGAGCAAAATGGCTCGCTGGCCCAAAGACAGTCCAGGCACTTGGTATAGTCGCTACAAGAGAGGGTCCATGGTAAGTAGGAATGCATGAGTGAACGGGCCCGGTACCGAGGGTCCGCGGATCCTCATTGTTTCCGGACCATCGGTCTCTTTGACGGCCCGTGCTTCTGCATGCTTTTCGGATCCCTTCATGGCTGAGCATGGTCATCATCAGAACAGCAGCAAGAAGTGTGTTTGCTCAGACTTATGGGTAATCTGAGGTCTGTGGGCGGAGACGTCAGTCAGTCTGTTTCCATAGCAAAAAAAGACTCAAAAAGTGACTGACATAAACCCTAACTTATCCTAGAAGTTGTAGATTTGTTCATGTGAAAGGCCTGACTGATGGAATCCAGCCCATCTTCTGTGAGAAAATCACCTTGAAGTGACTGAGTCTGTTAACACATGATTGTTGTTCTGCTCCAAATGCTAGTGAGATGCTCACCTACAGGTAAATAACATTCATGGACAAGCAAAGGCTGTATCAAACAGCTTCCTGATACCTTGTTATAGAATTGCATGCATCCTTGGCAGAGACGATGATTGCATTGTGATGAGTTTAGTGAAAATCTGTGGATAGATATGAGGGATTTTTTTCAGTATTGATAAGGTAGTTCAGTCTTAAACACTATTTGGCGTAATGCATGTAGAGTATCAAGTCATTAACTTAGGAACATGCTGTATTGGAATCAACTGTAGGCATTAGACAAGCGAGTAATGTATTTTCAATAGAAAAAAGTAAAAATGCAGCATTTAATTAACATTAACATTTAAATTGGAATAAGTTTCCATATACAGCATAAATCATAAGATTTAACAAGACAATAAAAATAATTTTATGGTAAAAATAATGTGAAAACTTTGGAAATTAACATAATATATTGTGCAAATCTATGTTGTATTTAACATAACACTACTTAACCATAAAATATTGTTAAAATAATTTTTTCAGAGGTAAACTTGATGAAAAAGACTACAAGAAGTCCTTGCGTCACACTTCACTAAGATTATTTTGATTATATTTAAATTGCTGCCAGTGAAGAACGTTTCAAAACAGCCACTATATGGCAGTGTTATTTTGGCATCATTGATAAACTATTATAGTGTTTGTTAATATTTAAAATATTTTTTTCTATTTTTTCACATTAATTTTAAAGTTTTAATAATTTTGTTGTTTATTGGTTTTTTAACATGTCTACATAGTTTTTATTCATTTGTATTGATTAATTTTAGTAATTTATTTCAAGTAACAAATTTTTTTTTATGGTTTTCATTTTAGTTACATTTTGTTAACTATAATAACCCTGCTATGGGGTTCTGTTTCACATAAGTTGCTGCCTTAGAAGGTAGACAGAGACGTTCACTAGTGTTTGGAACAGAGCCATTGTGTCCATGGTGGATCTCAGTCACTGAGCTTCTGGGTTCAGTCTCTCTTGACATTCAGCTGTGATCACGAGGTAATGTGGTCATGGGCAGGTGTTCATGGTGGGTTGCATGCATGCATGCAAAGTCAATGCATATGAGTGTGTGAGAGGACCTCCTAATCGTAAGTATATATATAATGATGCGTGTGTGTGTGTGCATGGAGCATGCGCTCGCTCTCTCAGTCAGTCACATATGTGTGTGTTTGTGGATCAGAGGAGATGGAGTTTTCTTCTAAACATGGGTTGGTATATTCAAGAATGAAAACAAAACATTTGCATATTTCCGTAATGCAAATGTTGCATCACACCACAAGGGGAGAATTTGCATATAAACCAGTACAACTCATTTGAATATATTAGTGATATTTTGCAGTGGAGTCTGTAACAAAATGAGTTTATCTTGCATGTTTGAATGTGTAAATGAATTTTGGTGTTTGATACATGCAGAGCAGAACTGAACTGGGAAAAGAGTTTTGTGCTCTTGCCTGACTGACGAAACAAGAGTGTTTAGAGACAAAGTTTTAACCATATATAAACGTTAATCTGCTTTTAGCAGGAATGCATCGGATTGATCGGAAGTAACAGTAAAAACATTTGTTACAAAGATTTATATTTCAAATAAATACTGTTTTTTTTTTTTACCTAATATTCATTAAAGAATCCCAAAGCAGCACAACTGTTTTTAACATTGATAATAATGTTTCTTGAGCACCAAATCAGCATATTAAAATGATTTCTGAAGGATCATGTGACACTGAAGACTGGAGATATTTGGTATTGTAATAATATTTCACAATATTACTGTTGACCAGATAAATGCAGCCTTGATGACCCCAAACTTTTGAACAAAAGTGTATATACATAATTGTTATACTAAAGTATTTATTAAAAAAGATTGACAATGGTTTCACTGTAAAAACAAGTTTGCCTTTTTTTTTTTTTTAAATCAAAAACATTAATTTACTTAAGACGCAATCAAATATATTAGGTGTTTTCGGGGAATATATCTTATCTTACCACTTTGGTAACTTTTAATATTATTATTAAGAACTTTTTTTTTTTGTCATTGTAGAGTTTGAAACCCAAATTTAAAACAATAGTCAGTGATCATAAAATAGCGTAGGACCGGAGGGGTGTGATGTGTAGTTTTCAGCAGAACCTCTAGGGGGCGTTTGTCCAGCTTTTATCTATACCGCACTGCTGTCTGTTTGTCTGCGCAGCTCTCGTACATGGATGCGGAGGGCAATCCGATCGGAGTGGTCCAGATGACATTCCTGCGTTTACTCAGCGCCACGGCTCGGCAGAACCTGACTTACAACTGTTACCAATCGGTGGCTTGGCACGACCAGGAACTGGACTCTTACGATAAAGCCATCCGCTTCCTGGGCTCCAATGATGAGGAGATGTCTTACGATAACAACCCATACATCAGAGCCGCCGTCGACGGATGTGCGGTAAGATCTAGAAATATTTGCTGAATTCGGAACTTAATGTTTCTGCCATTAAAAGTCGTAAAATTAGTAATAGTATGTGCTTCCGAATTCTAAAGTCTTTTTTTTTAGCACGTTTAAACTGAAAACTCTCACAAGCGATGTTCGTAATGCTCCCTTTCTTACCTCCCGCAGTTGAAAAAGGGCTATGAAAAGACTATTCTTGAGATCAACACACCAAAAGTGGAGCAGGTACCATTTGTTGACATTATGTTCAACGATTTCGGCGGAGCGACGCAGAAGTTCGGCTTTGAGGTCGGACCGGCCTGCTTCATCGGCTAAGACTGCTCAGCGAGCACACGCGAACAAAACATATTCATTTTCTCCGAAAACAAAACACGAGAAAGAAATAGGACGACTTATTTGTAAAGTTTTGTGTTTCCAAACAAACCCGACAGATACCAAAGTAAGGATAAAAGAAATTTGAAGACAGAATGGATGTCTAAGCAATGGGTTCTTATAACAGAGCAACCTTTTTAACCTCAGTGTACCCTCTGCATCACATGCAAGTTTTGAAACTGGATGAGGTCATCGCTCGTGTCTCTCCCAGCCCCGCCCACTTTACCATCCGACTCTTCGCCCCTCCCACAGGCTGTATAGACAGATTAGATCCATCCTTTTATTTCCCGCCTGTTCATGGACTTGTAGCTCTATGCACGTCCGGTTCGGCATTTCTCGTACGAGAAATCTTTTCCGCTGGTTTGTTTGCTTGGGTTTTATCTTGTTCCTTTTTCCACTTCTAAGCTTTGTTTTTTTGTGCATACTTGTCTTCCATTCCCTGGAATGGTGATTATATATATATAAATATATATAAATATTTTTTTTTCTATGTTTGTAAGTACTTTCTGTATATTTTTTTTTCCGGTGAAGTGATTTTTTATTTTTTTTGGTTCTGGCTTCAAAACATGCATGTGAACCCATTGAACGATAAGGACAGAGCTGCTGGTTATTGGAAAACACTTAAAAATAATAATAATAATAACCCCCCAAATAAGAGCCTGTGGAAATTTCCAGTGAATCTGAAGAAGAGAAAATAAAGGAAATGATTAAAATACGACAAAAAAGCAACTGCAACAGCAACAAAATGTCTTATTCCAGATGTCAACAACGTCTTTTTGTAATTTAAAGAACAAAATGACAATAAAAGTAAGAAACAGCCGTAATGTGAGCATTGATTTGCTACCTGTCGTGTTGAAGTGGCTTCCATAGGTCTGTGAGATCGCGACCTGTGTGCATGAGGGGAATCTTTGATCTGACGTTCATGAATTTGTGCTTCCCTGTATCAGAAGAGCACACATCACACTGAGGAAACACAATATCGGTAAACTAGGTGCTATTTCCTTCTGTCTGTGGTGCTAAAAATATATACCTTTTTTCCTGTTCTTGTTTGTTGTAATTGAAAACGGCTCTACGGTGATGCTCAAGCGGTTCCACGTCTTCTGTCAAAGTCCTAGCTTTGCTTCCCGAGCTGGGGAAGTATTTTTATGCATGCCGTAAAATCATATTCATTTATAGATGAGAACACGTTTTTCTTCTGTTATCATTCCTCACCACGTTTGACAATGTCCAGATTATTAGTATTACATGGAGATAATTGATGTACTTTCATGGTCCTCCAAAGGCTTTAGCTCACACTTTACATCACAGTCTATTTACATGATCTGAAATGGTTAAACGGAGCACAATTACTGTTAATGCTGTCGTGATTAAGGTATTATGTGTAACATGGACCCTGTAATGTAAAGTGTTACTCTAGCTAACAGAAGCGATGGAAATGAAACGCCTTTTCACGTGCTAAAACTTTAAGCATTTAAAGGCAGGGTATGTGATTTTTCAAAAACACTTTAGAAAACTGATTCGGGCCGAATAGCAAAACAAACTTGTAGCCAATCAGCAATAAGGGGCGTGTCTACTCGTGATGTGGAGGAGAGAGCTTTCAGTGCATGGGACGGACATTAGCCGAGCCGAGCGACAGAAAGATAGAGATGGCGGATAAAAAACAAAAGAGGAAAACGTCTGCGGAACGATAAGGCAAGAAGTAGGACCCGTGTAAATATCGGATCAGCTTTCCAGCGCTGGAGAGAACTCAAGGAGTGGAGGCCTGCGATCGGACGCCGAGGTTGCTTTGTTTCTTCTCAATAGGTGAGTAACACCGTGTCTACAACAGCTAAAGTCTGCCTACACTGGATGCGATCAAACGACCGTTGAAAACCATTTGAAATTTGTGTCAGCACGTCATAAATAGAACTCGGCAGCAGTTTTCTGTCGGGGATTTGTTGCGCCGCGCCGCTCACGTCCGTAGACACGGTGTAACATTGGTTTTGCTTTGTTTCACAGAACTAATCGTTGCCTGGGTTGCGTACGTATATGTGGGGCGGAGCTATCAAAATAGGGGCAAGACCCTTTTGGGGTAGGGGCGTGTTTGTTTTGGTGATTTCAAATATCAACATTGGCTACCAGAAATCACTTACTCTGCCTTTAAAACCGCTCTGGAGAATTAGCTTGGGACCTTTTCATTAGATCTTTTTGGAGGGTTCTGTGAATATTTGAACCAAAACGCTTAGAGGAATGAATAGTTAACTTGACTGCCGATTTCAGCTTTCCTTCCAAAGAGATTTCTCTTAATTTAAGAGACTTGAAAAGCAAGAATCAGATTGTCTTGTGTGATTATTCAAGGATGTTGTACATTACAAAATTGTGCTAGCGTATATTCCTTCACCTGTCAGAATGTGTTGTCATTGACTAGAGCCATCTTTTTATTCATCTATCATCTTTTGCCACTAGACCTTTTCTTGCACTCTTTTGTTCTGCTTTTTGACCACTAGTCCTGCTACTGCAAAATCTTGCTCTAATTTTTAATTAAATATGACTTGAACTGTTTCTTTTAAGAGGATTCATATGCAGTTTTGACAACTTTATCAGTACAAAAAAAATTACAACCAATTCTTCTGTAAATTTCAAAACCAGCAGTAATGCTGCCAATAAAGTTGATTCTGTTTTTGTTTTTTTTTGTCTTTGTAATGTTTGTTTGTTTGTTTTTGCGGTCGTGTCAAACCTGTGTACGAGAAGATAGAAGAGATATTGGTTTTGTGTCAATAAATTCAGGTTTACTGTGTCCACCCACCCTTGTATGTCTTTTGAAGCATTAAAACTTTCCTGTATGCATGAAATTGTTAAGCTTTCTCTTGATGTTTCTTCCCACAGCCACATTTTTTTTCTCAGCCGTATGATACATCCTCTCAGTGCTCCGATGAAAACAGGCCTGTCCTTCATTGTGAAATGGAGAGAGAGCGATGTTTGTTGTAACTCTCTACCAAAGCCCATGTTCCTTTGTAGTATATTTATTGTATTATTTAAAAATAATAAATGTTAATTGATACCAGTAGTGTTCTTGATATCTGATAAATATATATCAGATATACATCTTTATATCTGATAACTGTTATCACTGTGCTATATTATGTAGAGATGCAGAAGAGGAGGCGCATAGACATGTGAAATACTCAAGTGAAATGAAATTTTAAAGGGGTCATATGATGCTTTTTTAAAGATCATTATTTTGTGTATTTGGTGTAACAGAATATGTTGACATGCTTTAATGTTAAAAAAAAACACATTATTTTTTCAAATACTGCTCCAAGGAGAAAGGAAAACTTGAAATCACATCATATGACCCCTTTAAGTATATCACTGGTTATCTGGAACAAAGCCTGAAAAGGCTTTTCTTAACATATGAGATGCATATTGAAACAAACCAAAAAGCGACTTGCATTAAGCTGGAACGATCCTTGTATGATATTATTTTGGTGAGTATTCTGACACGAACAAACCTGATGATCATGTTCTGCAGCATTTGAGATGATCCAGTGAGGATCCTGTGCTTCAATGGAACAAGAACATCTGAGCGCCTGCACAAAGAAACACATTTACTTGATTAGTCACACAGAAATATTTCTTATTTTATATCTTACACTGTAAAAAAAAATCGGTGACATTTACGGTAAAATACCGGCAGCTGTGGTTGCCAGGACTTCACCGTAAAAAATATGGTAGCAACATTTTAGGTTTTACAGACTTAACTTAAATTCACATTAAAATACCGTATTTCATTAACTGATGTAATGTTAATAAACCAACACATTGAAGTACTAATATCTGTTTTGAACCATTGTAATGCACTAATAACCACCAAAAACTGTTGGTGATGAGAAAGTCACATGATGAACCAAAGCTCATCACAAACAGCTTTTCTACGAGCTGAGGAGGGCAATACTTGTATATATATAGAAGGTGCACAGTCTCATTCATACAATCTGGGAGTGTCAATTTACGTTTTTTCACTGTAAATTATACAATGACTTTTTCTTTTTCACTTCCAAAAACCTTATTTTTAACAGTATTTTACTGTAAAATTATATTAAATGTAATTACATGTATTCACCGAATATATTATGGAAACTTACTGTTAACCAGTTAACAGGTTTTTACTGTAGCATTTTTACAGTCTTTTACTGTTAAAATCACAATCATTTTTTTACAGTGTAGTTTTACATTATAAAACAATCATCTTAGAGTTTTGGACACCACCATTGAAGAACAAACCAAGGATGTAAAAACTGCAAACAAGAATAAAAAAAATAAAAAAATAGAGTTCTGACAAACAGATCATGAAACAAGTCATTGATATTTTTTTTTGTAATAGCTGTGATACATCTAAATATAATAATTCAGGTTAATTGGGACCTTTTCCCCAGTCATCTCAAATTTACAATTTAACTGAATTCACCATATCTTTAAAAAAAAAATTCAGAAATATTTTTGGAGTTTTAAAACGGCACAACCTCATTTTAACCCCTTTGAGTCTATGATGCGTAAATAAATTGTTAGCCAACAACCATCAAATCACATTTAGATTTTTTTTTAAGACCATATTTTTTCTTAAAACATGAAAATGTTAAACACAAAGACTGGAAAATAAAAAGCTGGAATCTAGACAATGAAGCAGCTTAAAATTTCTTTTTTTATATCCTTTTTTATTATTTCTTTTTTATCTATACAATTGTTATAATTAAAAAAAAAAAAAAGCAGAAAATAAGAATGAGCAAGTGTGTCCAAACATTTGACTGGTAGTACAGCTTGTCCAACCAAAGTACAACATGCTGTAACTTCAGTATCCGGATGAAAAATGATTTATACAGTTTTTTTCTTATTTGCCCAATATTAAATCTAAATCGAATCAAGCTCTTTCTCTATAACTGAAGGTAGTGTAGTGCACATAGACAGCTGTAATAACCCACAGCTCAGTGACTGGAGACTTTTCCTCTAGAGCCCCGTGTCCTGGCCTAGATCCATCCCAAACAGCCCCGACTGCAGGACGGAGCGCTGAAGCACGGGATACATGAACATATCCGGCACGTGATCAGCGCGCCTCAGCGGAGAGACAGCAGAATCACACAGCTCGCGGTTACTGATCCAAACAGTTTCACAGTTAGTAGGAAACTCCATCTAATGCCTCTTATGGCTGACAAATCTTGTTCATTTAGTTTTGTCTTTAATGAAAATGGCCAAGGTGTTATTGTTGGGTCAAAACATTCTTACTCTTGCAATATTTACTCAAATGCAGATTGTTACCTCAGGAAAGTCACTCATAGTCCATATCTCACTTTGCTAGAAAAATACATTTTAGTTAAGTAAAAAAAAAAAAAAAAAAAAAACAGGGATTAAAATAGCTAAAACGCTGTTTTAATTGCGGAAAGACGTAAATAAATAACTTGTGAAAAACATGATGTTACATTAGGAATGTTAATGTCCGTATCTCGTCAGTTCACTAAAAAAATTATTTTGGTTAAGATATTTTTCAAAAAAAAAAAAAGTTATGGCATTTTATACGCCAAACTGTACGGAAACCGTTAAAAGAGTGTTGTTGTTGTTTTTTAAACTGCAGTAAAC